CCTTGTTAGTTAACTTTTGTAATACATATGGTTTATTTTTAATTAATGCCCTTCAAAGACCCAAATGCAACAAATGTTTTGAAATATAAGTTTTGAAATAGGCTTATATACTTTAGTTCAATTGAATCTCTAGGCTTTCTCTTATAAGCACTTGATATATGAGCTATAATAATATAAGTCTCTAAGCTATATTTTCTTCTTCTAACAGGGCCTTAATTACTCACAAGAGAGCTGAGTGAGAGAACGGCAGTGTGAGAGAGAGAGAGGGAGAGAGAGCGGGGTAATTGGTATCGCTCGGGACCAATAGAACGAAGGCATCATATCCGCCCCTGCTTGCCCCCGCTTCGATAATAATTCATGTGACGCTAAATGCTGTAAGCAGTTAGTCAAATATTTTCATGTTTTGATCGTGTGCCCAGCCCACTCGGCTGACCAATGTCCTAATATATACACACACACGCACACACACATACACATATGCGGACATGTATTTCGCGTGTCCTATTCAATTTGTTGGGTCGCCGGCGCGCTGAAGGGGCTGGCCACTGGCCGAGGCAGTTTTCCACCATTAATTCGGTGATTTATGTTCTGTTTAATGTGAAAAATGCAATGTTTTTACCAGAGAGATCACTCCCCGATGACGCAGCGACCTTCCGGGGCCTGGTCACTAATCAAGTTGACCGCCGGTCAGGCAGGAGCAGACCCAGAGCCAAGGAGCTGAACCCGAATGGGCCTCGGCCAGCGCTGCGGAACCGGTACAAATTCATTAAACGCACAACGATCAACGAAGTTCGCGAGCAAAAGTTTACTTCAATTTGCATAGCAATTGCGCTGGACTGATTTGCTCGGCGAGCGGGGGGTAGCAACCCCTAGAGCTGATTTTGATTTACTTCTGCTCGCCGTGCAGCTGCAAAGGGGGGTTGCTGACCCTTGGCTGCGCTCGCCCGCTGGTCAGCAGCCCCTGCTTGGCCCTGCTCAGCCCCTGAGCGCTCTGATTCCTTTATAAGCGTGATAATGATGATGGCTGACCTTTCGAGCTGGACTGTCTACCCCTCGTCTAGCCTTGGTGCGGCAGCCTCCTGCAAAATGGCCGACACATGCGACTCGGACTTAACTTTTGACCAATGGTCAGCAGAAAGAGCACACGCTCAGCACACACACGCACAGACTTATGAAGACGCTGTGCGAACATCTTGGACAAGAATCGCATTTGTCGGCCCATTGACACTGCAGGCAGGGGGTCGTCCCTGGTCCCTGGTCCCTGGTCCCTGGTCGCTGGACACCCTATCGAGCTGATCTGCTGCTCCGGTGGTGGTCAGCGCTTGTCAACATTATTTCTCAATTAATTTTTCATTTTTCATAAAATTAACCCAGAAATTTGGTGTGCAGTGACCTTCGCACTTGGCCATGTTCGCATGTTCGCATGTTAGCATGTCCACAGGATTTGTGCTCCGCTCTGCTCGCTGTGCTGTGTTGTGTTTTGGCACGTGTTGGTCATTTGGTCATCTGGTCATTTGCTTATTCAATATGCTTAAAGTTAACTGAACTGGTTTGTTGCTTTGCCAATTGCCTTTTGATTTCCTATGCGAGAGCGTGCGCGCCTTTGTGCGTGTGAGTGTGTGTGTGTCTGTGTGTGTCTACTTGTATTTATTTGTACCATTTTTATTGCATTTATTTTGCCGCCATTGAGGTGCGTCCTCCTTTGGCGTCATGAGCCGCAGTCAAGGCGAGTCCTTAAATGAAATTAAGTCCGTGCCGGCATGCGCTGCTGCGCCCAGGCAGGAAGTGATAGAATGAATGGCTGCCAGTCGCTGCAGTAGATGTACATCTGTACCCCCTCTGCTGCTCTTGCTGCTGCTCCAACTCCTCCTCCTGCTGCCACCCAGCTTGACTGCCAGCGAAAGAAAAACAGCAGAGAAAAACAGCACACACACATACACAAACAGAGCAAGAGAAACGCAAAAAAGGAAGAAAAAGAAAAACAGAAATGCACAGACAGACTTCCTGTGGATTTTCCGGAATTTAATTTATTAAAACAACGAGCGACAAGTGCTTAAGCGCAGTCCACATCCATGCAAGAGACTAGAAAAGAGCGGCCGAAGGCAGGAGGCGGTAGGCGGTAGGCGGTAGGCGGGAGCAGCTAGTATATGGCCTTTAAGCGATCATGATTAGACGCAGCTACGGAGCGATGTGCTTCCTAACAACAATTTCATCCAGATCAATTTGAAGAGTTATAAGGTAGAAGTCAGTACATTGAAAAAACTTTGTGGATATAAGAAGAAATAAATAACAATATATCATATCATATATTTATTAAAAGAAATATATATAAATATATTGATGATATTGTTTGATTTGAATAAATTTATTATGGGTGTATAGTACAGTTATTGATAAGTAATTCGATATGGAAAAGTATCTTAAATATGCAAGATCCATTTAAATATGAGCTAATATGGTGAGCTCTATAGATATATCACTTTCTCAATTAATTGGTTTAGATATAAAAATAATTAAAATAGCTCACAGAGTTAGCTATAAATAATCGATTACTTATCGCATTAGAATAATAATAATGATCACAAGTCTTTTACAATTTTAGCATTTAATAGCAATGTTATGAATTTGTGTTTAAATATGATGAGCATCAGATCAATTGTACCATTCAAACTTGAAATAGAACAGAATTGAAATTGCTTTAAGCTAAGATAGAGTGAGCTATTTTTTTGATATTTGTGGGAATGTGTATCCATTTGATATGGAATAATAGCAGAAGGTCTTATTGTAAATCCAGTCAGGGCATTTGATCTATTATTTTATCACAATAGTATAATCTTTGACGCTGTTACGGCCCAGAGATTGATGATATTTAACGATTCAGTTATAATGAATTCAACCTATTGATTATGCTAGTGATATAATTAATTCAGTTTTCGGATGTGGAGTTCTTTAGAGCATTTCTGTCTGAATGGGCACCACGTGCACTGGTTCAGCTCTCAGTTTCTCAGCTCTGGGCTGACGACCCACACTTAAACCAGAGAACACTCTCTGGGCATTATTATTTGAAAATTAAAACAATTCAACAGCGGGGAACAGCTCTTTGACGTGGCGGGACGGTGCATTGTGTCGCTGGGTAAAACAATCTCATTGAAGGATCGCAACGGGATCCAGATCTGAACTCATGAATCAGTCAGCCAGTCCGCCAGCAGCGGGCAACGGCTGGACTGACCGGGCACGGAATTGTGAACGGAGAGCCGAGGACTGTCAACGTGTCAATCAAGCGGAGTTGCTTTCGCTCGATTCGTGGCACTCCTCACGCTCATTAATTCAGGACGCGTCCTCATTTCTTGTCGTCCTTGACGCAGCGAAAAATATTACCGCAGTGCCGCAGCTTTGCACCCTTTTTCACTCCCGCGGTATCCTGTGTCGTGATTTTTTTCTTCTTCTTCTTCGTTTTCTGTTGTTTTTTTTCCAACCCTTTCGCTTGGAGCTTCAAGACGTTAGAGTCGGAGCAAGACTCGAAGTCAGTTGGGTTAGGCCTTTCGATCGTTCCTCTTGGGCCTCATCTACGCCCTATGACGTCTCACGAAATTCTTTCGTCCTTTCAGACGACACATGACAGCCATTGTAATAGTGATATGTGTGCATAATCCAAATTGATAGTCGCGACCCTGTCATAGAGCTCATTCTTTAGTGGGCTTCCCAATTTGCAGAGATCAAAAAGCTATTCGAACTCAGAACCTCAGAAGTCATGACGATGTTTATGATACTATATAATATTATCCAATATATATATGATTGATAAAAAAAAACTCGACAAGCACATCGATTACCTTCAAAGTGAGCTTGACTTTAGTTTAATGCTGCTTGTGAAACACTGAGGCGTCCTTTACTAGGATATTATAAAAAGCGAGATGTAACTCTTAGATATAGTTTCCTGATTGTTTATTATAAGAGTTGGTATTTGATGCACCTTTATGCTTTCTAAACAGAGCTAAAATACAACTAAACAAAATAATAATACAGATCACTTTGAAAGTTAAGCCAAGCGCGAGCAGATTTTGTATTGTGCTGAGCAAGCTGCAAATTTAATTCCCTTGGACTATTTGGTAGGACAGTTAGATTGTGATATAAAAGCGCTTTTATGACTACTTGAGCAGTAGAACTCTTCTTCACAGAAGAATTCACAATAGACTAAGAAGGTATATCTATTACACCAGGTCTTTTTATATCATTTTCATCTCAGATATCCAATCTCAATAATGCCTCACCTCGGCTACACAAACAAATCTAGTCTTACATCTTATCAATCCAACTAAAATTACAATAAATATTACGCTATTCACTCTTTTATGGAAGAGTACAACTCACGAATTGGGTAAGAAACTAATCAATTCAAAAATTAGACATTCAATAATCTGCCCCATAAGTTATCTAGGTGTACAATATGATCTAAATAGACATATGTACTATCTGCAGTATAGAACAAAATGAATGCTCAGATAAACCTAGTCAAATTTTGTTATCTAAGGTTCAGAGATTTATTATTAATTTTTAACAAATGCTTATAATTTCAATGAGGTAACTTGAAGCAGATCTCTCTTGTTGATTAACTCCCTACTCTAGTAAACAAATATTAATAAACAGTATACGTTTTCCTTTTACTCTATAATTCATACCTAAAGGTAAAAAACATTCTTTTGATTTATTATTCTATTTTAACAAATGTTGAGTTAACCGCAGTAGAACTCTTTCGATGGGATGGCTGAATACATTGATTGGGGACTCCGAATCATCACAGCCTGCTATTGCTATCAAAATTCTCATCAACACCTGTTCTCGTTATCATAATCTGCAATCTTCTGGGCTACATCAATATAATATATTTACTCCATCCCTGGGTGTGTTAAGGGATATTCCAACTACTTATTTATGCATATACCATGCATACTTAAGTTTATTTATTATATTATCTATTGCCACATCATATGATCACATACCTCTTACAATATGTTGCCTCCATCCTAGCGCAAATCCATCTTTAGCTCCGATTTGGTTAGCTGCCTCACGACGACTGCCTGGTTCCCAGTCTCTAGGTTCTCAAGCCTTTATCTCTGGCAGCCTCTCGCTCATCCGCTCCCTCTCTCTCTCTCTTTCGCTCTCTCTCTTCCTGTTTCACTTTAACTCTCATCGGACTGCGTTGCCTTGGCACATCTGTTGTTCCGCGTTTGGGCTCAGTTTTACTTATTTGATGTTTTTTGTTATTTTCAAATTTCTCTTCTTCCATTTTTCAAGCGCGCAAAACTTATGCAAATTTGCATTTTCAGCTTATTGTTGATGCTCTCGCAATATGGGGATTAAAAAAAAAAACTTTTCCTACGTGGCTCCTGTTCCGGATTCAGTTTTTAGTTTCTGGCTCAACCCTGACCCAAAAAAAAAAAAAAAAAAAACAACAAAAGATTATAATGATGCAGTTGGCAGGATGTGAAGAAGCAGAGCAAGAGATCGTGAGTATTAGAGAGTAAGAGAAAGAGAGAGAGGGAGAGAGAGAGAAAGCGAGTGAGTTGAGCATAGTGCAAATGCCCTGTCATTAAACGCATTTTTTTGTTGCTGCCCTGCCTCCCTGCCCTTGCTTCCTGCCAGCCCAAGTTCCATTCAAATCAATAAATATGCAAATGTGAAATATTGTGCTTGTTGTTGTTGTTATCCTTTTGCAACAATGCGATTTGCGGATCGCGTTTCGGGGTGTGCAACGGGTCTCTCGCCTCTCGCGCACTGCATTCCGCACTTTTCCCATTTCCAATTTCCATCATATTCGCAAATAATTGATATCCAGGACATTCGTCATTCGAAATTCGCCAAATTTGAATATTCAAATTACAGGCTACAAGTTTGCATATCCGGCCCAGCCCAGTTCGGCACGACCCGTTGGCCTACCTACTTTGCATATGTACTATTAACTTGCCTCTACCTCTAACTCTACCCCTACCCCTGTCCCTAATCTAACCCGAACCTCCCGTTCGCATAAACCCTTCCGATTCAATTCAATTTTCAATTTCATTGCATTTGTTTTCGATTCGAGGTTCGAGCCTGGAACTTTGTGCTCGGATTTCGGCTTCGACTTTGATTTGTGCTGCTTTTTTATGTTTGTTTCAAAGGTGTGAAATCCTTCTAATTGATGGCAATGATAAGATTCGATTAAAGTACTGAACTCTGCCTTTTTTTTGCCAGTTGACCAAGAGTAAGGTATAATGTTATTTCAGCTACGAATATTTGTAATTGTATATGTTTTGTTTTCATACTCATTCACGAAAGTGAATTATTTTACTCATTCCCGAAAGTGAGTGAATATTGGTTTTGTGCAATGTCCGTCTTGCTGTCCGTCCGTCTGTTCGTCCGTCCGTCTGTCCGTCTGTCCGTATGAACGCTGTTTATTTCGGCGCTATTGAAGCAGAAATTCGGAACACGTACTCGTGTATATCTCCGATTTATAAAGTGTTAAACATTTCGCGATCCGCCCACTAGGGGCGTGGCAAAATCAGCTAGAACGCTGAAATTTTGCACGTAAGCTAATGTTATGATTCTATAAAGTCTAATGACAACATTATATGTCTACACCCGTTAGAGGCGTGGCAAATCGGACATGAAGATATAGTGACTATATAAATTCTGCGATATATTTTGGACACTATTCTCAAATGTTGTATATATACTCGGGCTGACTACCCAAGATCAAAAAGCTTCGACGGACATATGTCCGCCCACAGGGGGCGTGGCAAACAGCAAAAGTTTATATCTCTTAAAGTATAATAGCTAGAAGCTTCAAATTTGGATAGTTGAGTTACTAGTAACCTAGCGCAATCATCACTAAACTTTAACCTGTGTGTGGGCTAGAAGCCAGTATTGACATCTTATAAATTGAAATTGAAAGAGTGTAAATGGAAAAAACAAGCATAACTTATTTAGATGGTATATATCAAAGTAGTTTATTTACCATAACTAACAAGAATTATATGTATGCATGCATGCTAAGAAAATAGCCTTGTATAGCTTTTCAAGACCTCTCCTTCCAGTTTGTTCAGAGCTGTTAAACTTCACATAGTTATTATTCATGTATACATCATGATTATCCAAATTGAATCATTAACGGTTCCATACATATAAATGAATCTGTACAACTACCTCTATCTATCTACTCACGAGCTTAATCATTGATCTTAAACTAGACTCAAGCGTAAGTTCTTGAACGCGCTGATTATTCAAATCAGAACTTGATGCGCCAGCTCAAACTCAAATTCAAACTCGAATTCAAATTCAAATTGAAATCTAAGCGAATTCGATTGAAAATCTTTATATGCTTATTAAACTAAGAATTATTTGCATATTGAAGATGTTATGTAAGCTGTTTCTCAGCGCCAAACATGTGTGTGGGAAAATGGAAAACAAATAAGTAGGAAAAAAAGAGGAAAAAAAAAAAAAAAAAAAACTAAAGAAAAGCAAGGAAAACCTTTTGAGCAAACCGTCACGAAAAATCGAATATGAAAGTTCTGCCACATGTGCGATGTCTAGCTGCTGTGTGTGTGTGTGTTTGTGTGTGTGTGGCACATAAATATCGCGCATTGTGTATGTATTGGCTTACATAAGCTTTTCACTGGCCTCTCCGTGAATTTCGACCGCTCTCTTGCCCTCTCACTCTCCCTCTCTCTCTCACTCTTTCTCGCTCTCTCCCTCTCTTTCTGTATCTCTCTCACTCACTCACTCTCCTCAGCACGCCACCCCCTTCCCAGTGGCTGTCTCTGTCACTCGCACGCTCCCTATTGCACTCATGTGGCCGTCGCTGATAGCACGAAATGTGCATATGCTTAAAAGTGCTCCAACACACACACACACACACACACACACATGTCTGACTCTCTCCAAATGTGTGTGTGTGTGTGTATGTGTGTGAGGGCGCACCCGCAGGACATACATGTGCGCGGGGTGGCGGGCGTACAGGAGACAATGTGAAGTGGGCTCCGCTTGTGGGCTGTGCAGGGCGGTGGGCGGAGGGCGGGGTGGGGCTGGCTTGGCGGCTGCACAGTAGTCAAAGGGCTACTCAGCAGCGACGGCGATGCTGGCAGCGCTGCCCGCTGCCAACAGCGGGCTTTGTTTGTAGCGCTGACGTCCTCGCATGTCCTCTCGTGTCCTCCACACATACACACACACATCACACACACAAGTCCTCGCATGGCCCGGGCAATGCCCATTATAAGCATGAGATATTCATTTGCTCTCCATTCTTCACATATGTAGCCACTGCTATGGACTCCCCCACACACACATATATACGTGCGCATATGTGTGTGGCTGGAGTTAGAGCGAGCTAGCGAATGAGTTTGTGGGCGGCAGGTGTGGGCAGAGGGGTGTGTGTGTGTGTGTGAGCTGCGCAAAGTCCTTCAATTAAAGATGCGGCGATATGGCGAGCGAGATGGAGCAAACGAAAGTTCAAAATGTGCGAAAGCGAAGCACATGTGTGTGTGTGTGTGCTTGTGTGGGTGGCTGAGCAGCCAAGTTTCGGCTGCGACTAATATTCAATGTGCCTGTATGCGTGTGTGTGTGCGTGTTTTTGGGCGCTTCGCATTCGAATAGTACGCAGGTCGAGTAATAAAACACGAAGCGCCATGCGAGACAACATGTGTGTGCCACACACACACACACACATACACTCACACACGCACAACAAAATGGACAACGACAACGCAACATGTTCGGCCAGCAGCGGCAGCAGCAGCAGCAATGTTGCTGCCATTGTTAACAGCAACAGCAACAGCAGCAGCATCTCGTATGGGCACACGAGCAGAACCGACGGCGCACGAGCACATGCAGGACGACGTTGACGCCGACGCTGGCGCCGATGCCGATGCCGAGGCCGAGGACGAGAAGGCGAACGACCACACACATTCGATAGCCTTCGATGAGCAATACATTTTGCTTCCCTTAAACAGGCCCGCTTAGGCCCAAAGCCCACCCGCTCAGCCGCTCAGCCGCTCAGGCACACGCACATGTGTGCGAGCGGGACATGCATATAGGCAACACACCCTCACATGTGAGCCTCTCTATATGCGCGCGTGTGTGTGCGGCTGCCATTGCTGTCACTCCATCTAACACACAGTGCGCGCCGCTGCTAGGGCCCTGCCCACCAGGTCCAACCACTCAATGACCTGACCAAACCGCCAAACCACCTTTAACTCAGTTTTTGCTTATGCGAAAAAGGGTGCAGCCGACGTCGCTGCCGCTGTCGCTGCCTGCTGTCGCTGCTGCAGTCGCAGTCGCCGTCGCAGTCGACGACCACTTGCTATTTTGTTGGGGGTTGGTTCTGTTCTCTGACGCCAGCGAACCACTCGGCGCTGCCGGCCTCCCGCACCACCCCACCACTGCCAGCTAAATTGATGGCGACCACACACATGACATGGCTGCCAGCCTGCCTGCTGCCTGCTGCCCGCTGCCCGCTGCCCGCTGCACGCGGCGGCTATCTGATTAGGCAGCCAACTCTAACATACTCCACTGGCCCCACATCGACCCCAGCCCAGCCACCCCCTCGGCGCAGTGCAACCCCAAGCTAACGCACGGCTGTCAGCCCCAACCAACTAGTACTGCTACTGCTGCGCATAAATTAGTTTTGTTTGACGGCAAATGAATGGAACGTCGGCCATTTTGCTCACATATGAGCACACACACATGCACACGCACACATGTGCACACACACACGCAGTGCACACACTCCCACGCAGGCTTGTGAATAGCATGACCAAAGGATCTTCTCCAAGAACAATAGCTACATACATACAGCTCACTGAGCGCACTCCAGAAACGGAAATGAAGAAGCATGAGAAATTTAATAAAAGAATATTTATATTTATATACATGTGCATATTTATCAACGTATATACATATATAAATATTTATCTATGTATGTATATATTTATTCGTTTGCCGGACTGGCAAATAAAATACTCCCCTCAGTTTGGAATAATTTTCTGTACTTTTGAGGCTTTATAATTATATTTTTGGTTTTATAATTATATATTAAGGTTCTGTAAAATATTAAAATAGAATCTGCATATATGTATGTACATATGAATATGTATATACAGTCGATGGTATATACTATACGCAGCCTTTAGGAACTGTCAGTAGAAAGCATGGGGTTTGTTTGGTATCACAGGTATTTTGCTCTAAAAGAATGGTTCTAATATTTCGGAATAAGGATTCATCTTTTTCTTTCATCCGGGCCTTTTCTAATTCTTCCTCTCTCTAGTTTCTATCATCTTCCTTTTCTCTCTGTTTCTCTATTTATCTATATCTCTCTCTCACTCTATCTAGATCGCTATGCACTTCTCTTTCTTCTTCCCTTCTGTAACCGTCCTTTTTGGCTCTCTCTTTCACTCTATCTGCCTCTTTGCATCTGCCATTCTCTCTATCTCACTGCTCCAATCGTTCTCTTTCTCTCTCTATCTCTCTGTCTCCTTATCACTCTGTCTGTCTCTCTCTCTCTGTCTCTCTGTCTATCTCTCGTTCTCTCTCTCTCTCTCTCTCTCTCTCTCGGTCTGCCGCTGCCTCCCACTTCTACTCTGTCTGTCTCTCTTTATCTGCC